TTGATAAAACAATAATGCTTTGAATTATGAATTATGGAGGGATAAGATGATATGGTGAGTGGTGAAGGACATTCACAAATTTACCATGCCCGTACAGGACTCGAACCTGCGGCCTCCCCGACGCAGACGACGGCCCCTGCAACCGTCTGCTTATTATTATTATTATTATTATTATTATTATTATTATTATTATTATTAAGATTGTCCGGAACTATGTATGTCTACCATTGCATTGAAGAGAGTCTTTATTTTTATGCGACATGCAGTTGCGAAGAACCCGAGTTTCCTCTGATCGTGGATTTCCTGCACAATTACGTATTGACTCAATTAATGGATTTTTGGACGAATTGTTCTAGGCCGGGAAGTACAGCAAAGGATTTAGTTTGTTTATTATTGTAGGTGATATGCAGGAAATATGCAGACATTAAATATTGTCTTATGCGCTGAATATGAAAAAAGACCAATGGCATGTTATTTTTGTCCACCTGCGCACTCTAGCATTTATTTGTAATCGAATTATAAAATTAGTTTCTTGTATTCTTTCGGATAAACAGTTTCCACACAAATAAACTCAGTTTGGAAGTGATACTTACTAATACTCTCGGCAGTTCCTCTGTTTCGTATGAACGTCCCAAAACGAACTGGAGAGTCCGATCATGTCTTTATCAAGCCGTTCATTTCTCCTCTCTTCAACTCTTTTCAAAGGTCGCTTGAGAGCCCGTACACTGAACGGTGAGAGTCCTCTTCGTCGAGCTGTTCCCAGCGTGTGTAGACGCGGATGGGGCGTCATTTCGCCTAGTTAGTTTGTTGTGAACATCCTCTCGTAACCCGCACACGAATTAATTTATCAAGGAAATCTGTGCTCGCGGTCCGAGGCGGTGCGCCGCGGGCCCTAATTGCGGGGCTGATCCCTGCCCCCCCCTCCCCCCGCCCACTTATCCACTTCGCCGCTGTCGCCGCCTCGTTGCGCCCCCCTCCCGCGCTTCCTCTTCCGCAGTCGCCCCGTGCAGCAGACAGCGGCCGGGCCCGCTCGCCTCCGGATGCAACATCCATGTCCAAAACATCGATGTCTTATGATATTTTATGCATATATGCTGATATTTTAAGCATTGATGTATTAACGCCGATGTTTTAAACAATGATGTTTTAACGCCGATGTTTTAAACATCGATGTGTTAATGCTGATGTTTTAAACATCGATGTATTAATGCTGATGTTTTAAACATCGATGTATTAGCGTCTATGTTTTTAACATCGATGTATTAACGCCGACGTTTTAAATATCGATGTATTAACGCCGATGTATTGATGTATTAACGGCGATGTTTTAAACATCGATGTATTAACAACGACATTTTAAACATCGATGTATTTAACGCAAATGTTTTTTTAACGTCGATTTTTTGTGATCGATTTTTTTTTCTTTTCCGATGTCTGGTTTCTAAATAAAAAATTCCTATGATCATAATCTGTAAATATTAAAATATGAAATAATAGCTGATGGTAACACTGTTAGTTACCGTGGAGAGACGGGTGTTTATTCAGTTGTTACGACGTTTTCAGGAGAAACACTTCAGCTGATCAGGCCTTTTTAGTAGCTGGAATGATTTACTTAAACCTACTTAAAACTACTACATCTACTTTTAACAATTTCTCTAAACGTACAGTTGCAAATACTACTAATTCACAAGTTTTGTTTTGGGACCATTTTAGTTATATGTGTAATCAACAAATTGTTGTGAAACATATCTTAAGATTGTTTTTCTTTTTTCTTCTGAGATAAAGAATGTGTCATGCGTACCTATATGACATATAGAGTAGAGAAAACAATGGACGGTCGTTACGGGTAGACGTTTGTTTCGGAATTTGTATACAAATATGAAAAGTCTTTAAGTATGTTTATTGTAATAAAATATGAACTTTCCTAAACACCGAATGCCTGGTAATATTAGGTCGTTTTTGTTATAAAAAATGTTCCTTCTATTAATGAACTATCTCTCAAAATTTTCGTGGAACCAACAGTGATCGCTTAATACAGGTTTCACTGTACGAGTAAGCCAGCAGCAAAATTCTCTGTCCTATTGCCAAAAATGTCGATGTGGTATATAAAAAAATAAATATAAAACCGTAAAGTCAACGGTTCATCTATTCTTCTTCTGATGTTCGTCAATTTTCTGTGGAGTTTGTCTGTTGCTACATTTTGTCCCTGGCATTGTTCTTCTCTCCTTAGTCATTGCCCTTACCCTGAAGTCACTCTCGTCACTCAACCTTTTCTCACCTCCATCGTGTACACGTTGGCCCCGGCCTCTCGGAGAGGAATGCAGCCACACCTCCGTGTCCGTCGGGGGCTCCACCCCTGCGGCACGCCCGTTTGTCGCTCCGGCCTCCATTGATGTCGCCGATCTCTGTCAAACGGATGCACGATGCACACATGAGACATACTAAGCGTGGACTCGGATGATAATTCGACCATCCTGTCCTGTTCATTATCATATTCACATGTCACTCTCGAAGAAATGACATTAAATAATACAAGTATTCCATTGATATTTGAGTCTGGAAATACTTGGACCACTGAAATGCCGAGGAGCTGAAAGAGGCGAGGAGAAAAGACATAAATGAAACGTGTGAATATATTTTACGTATTCTAATCGCATAAATAATGTAACTACTCGTGTAGGACTGTAACAACGAGACTTCCGGAAAATAGAAGGAAATGGTGTGGGATTTATGATGTTTTAATATAAATAGCCGAATTCTAATAATAATAATTCAAATTCTACTCGTAATAATAATAATAATAATAATAATAATAATAATAATAATAACAGTAACAGTAACCGGGCCAAGTGGCTTTGGGCTGACTTCGCTGTCGGGAGGCCCGTGTTCGAACCCCCTGGCTGCAGTGGCGCCTGGGGCGAGTGGCGCCGGAGCGAGCGCCGGAGTCTTCCCACGTCAGTTAGCCGCCGCGTGATCGCTACGCGCGCTGCTCCGCGGACGCACATCTCGGCCGCCCGGCCCGCGCGGATGCCCGCTGTTGGCTCAACGAGCACGGCGCGGGAGGCGCCCACGCCCCTCCACTCACAGCCCTTTGGCGCTGCTCCCGAAATGGACTGAGCGAAGTTTTTTTAATTATTGGAGATGTTTCTGCCTCTTATCTCGTGATCACGTGGAAGGAGCGTAAGCAAATGCGTGGCGGATCCATGCAGTTGTAAACATCTTCGGTTGTAAAGGCGCAAACATGTAAGTGCAAACAGTTTACCGAGATCAGGGAAATACTGTGAAGCCTTCATAGTCCAAAACTTAGTCACAGATTTCATTGTTTTCTTGATAATTTCTGTCCCTATCTAAATAACTTTATTTCTTAGTTTTTCGATAATTCCTTCGCCTTTTTTCTCTCTATATCAGGTTAAAAAGTAGAAATATTTGATGAAAAGAATCAAATCAGACTCGATTCATAATGGTTTTTGAGAGCAGTAGAACACAAATTATACAAAACTGTTAAGGTAATAAATAACTCATTCCATAATCTGTTTGTGAAAATGTACGTATTTCAACACGATGGAAATACTTTTCGACGAGTTTCTGTTGCAGTTAATAAACCCTTTTCTTATTTCATTTTATCATCGTGTTAAAATTGTTGAACTGCAGCAATAACATTACACAGTCATAATTTTAATATAAGAATGTCCAAGCGTAGATACTACTTAGTTTTCGCACTCAAAAATTCAATAACATATCGCACTCTTGCTATAAATGTAACATTATTCAAAAATCTTTATTTTTGAGTTGTTGCTATGACACAGTTGCAGAAACGATACTTGACTAGTCAGCAGAAGTGTGGTTCTGTAACTTGATTATAAGGCTGGTAGTGGGCGGTTATGATTGATCAAGTCTCTGAAGGTGACATAAATAAAACAATTGTCAGTTCTTTTGGGTTACTGGAACTAAAACACCGTTTAATCCTGGTTTTATATCCGTTCTCATTAGTGCAGATAAAATTGTTTGATTTAGTAATGTTTCATTATTGCCACAAACATTTTTCTTGATTTATGGAAAACCTGTCATTGAGTTGTGTCTCTTTTGTAGCAGGTGTGCGATATACGAATAATTTTCTATGGATTATTTCATGAAGAAAACATCGTATTTACGAGTATTGTGTATGAAAGCGTAATTGTTCTTGAAACATTAAGCGAGATATTAATCGCCCTCGGCTTAGTTCTATTATGAGAAAGTTGCCTCCTGTGAAAAATGACCTCGAAATAACAGTGGCAATCCTTCGTAAAATTACATTTTCATTATTTTGTCTTAATTCTACATTCATGTTTCTTTCTAAAAGACTTCCTCTCGTACATCCTATTAACTTATAGCATGTATATAATAATTAATTAGACCGGATTGAAACAGAAAAGAAAGTATTTAGAAAGGCCATTGTCTCGTAAACATATTGTGGAAAAACACTGTAATGAGGAATTCGTGCCGCGTTTTTGTCATTCGCGAGAAGACCATTTAACGCCCATCCTACGTTCTGAACATGGAATTGAGAAATTCGCGCCGCAATTGACAGCCCAACTGTCGTTCGGACGGGGGCCGTTTAACGGGCCTCGACCATTGGCCGGTCGCTGACTCACCCCATCGTCCCCCTCGTGGCTTTGTGGTCCTCGGAGGCTGCTCGCAACAGGTATCCGTTTAACGGCCGTCGCGGCCCGGTGACG